ATTTACGTTACTGTGTTCGAAAAATTTCGGCGTGAAATATCAGATAGGCTGTTCATAGGTTAAGAAGTTCACGGCAACCATTTCGAGCATCTTCTCAACTGATCTCAAGCTTATTACCTCATATTATGTACTTAAATGTCAATGTATTCAGGCAATTATTAAAAGTTTCGCCATTTTGTAGTAGTTGAAAATATTGACATTATACATGATACATGAGTATGAGTAGATGATGAGTAGCAGTAACTACATATAATACTTTTCTCACTTTTTCCTGTTCTATTGAAACACTTGTTAGGAATCACATGTTAAAAGGTAAAACCTCGTTAGACCTCAGCTCGCACAAGTTTCTCAACTTCTGAGAGTTGTCGTTCGTATGGGGGCGACAGCTGATTAACGGAAAAACAGATTTTAAACAGAACAGAAACTTATTTTTAGTCCTCTTCTCTGGTTGTCCTACTATGAACGTTTATTCATCAACTATACAATAATTCCAAAATAGTAGTCACTCAGTTTTTGTTTTTGCCTTAATCTGTCCCTTGCTGTGACTTACGAAAATTATTCCAAACAGATGAGGAAAAATAATGATGAAATATATAGAATCACAACCTTGACAACAATATTTTCGTTTCAATGTTAAAATATTTCTGACAATTCGATGCATACTATGCATTATGTGCCATCAGTATCACACCGTATCAAGTGCTCACTAATTTATGTGAATTTCCATGTGGATAATGTTGATATTTTATGTTGAAATTTGTATCAATCTGAAGTGAAAAACCTGAAGAATATATGTAGTATTTTTTTATTCAAAGAAAAGTTGAAAATTCTCATGTAATTAGTGTTTAAACAACAACATAAACTAATTAACCCAACAAAAACTATAAGTACAAAAACCGGTATAGTAGTAGAAAAAATTGGGAGTGTCTACTGAGCCAATTGCCCTACAATGGTCTGCAATACCTGTAACTTAGAAATTACTCCTGGTGAAGGGGTATGTTGTGATAGTTGTCAAGTAACAACACATTCTACCCTTAACTGTTCAGGAATATCCACATCTGAGGTGAGGGCCATAGTATTACAAAAAAGGAGCTTACTGTACTTTTGTGAAGAATGCCGGGAGGCTTTTAAAAGTGTTCCAAAGCTGCTTAGAGAAATAAGGGACATGAGAAAGGAGATGAATACATTAAAGCAAGAAGTGGAAGATCTGAAGCAAAAGGAGAAACAAGAAGTCAACAATTTTGAAGAGATAGTTATGGAAATGGAGGAAAGAAAGAAGAAATCTAAAAATGTTATTATATTAAATATTAAAGAGTCAATTAAAACAAATAAAAAAGAGAGAATAGAAGATGAAATGAATACAGTAAAAACAATTTTGTCAGAAACTGAAGTANTAAGAAGAACTGTCAAAGATAATGATGGGGAAAATTGATATGCTTGCTATGGAAGTTATCATCTGTTGTTTTCATAATGATTGAAATGTTGATATCATCAGCTGAACAAGTCGCATAAGTTTTAGGTGATTTATTCGTTCAAATTGGATCATTTATAGGCAATTTGTATATTTACAATGACTTGAAATGTTGCTATTATCATCGTATTTCCTCATTGCAGGAAATCAGTCTAATTAAAAAACGTTTACTGATGTATATTATGGACAAGTTTATGCCACACCTATATGTAAGCGAATGGATGGCTGGTAGATTTGATTGCGGCTGTACATATACTTTGGGTGTACAAGGACACAGCGAAAAATGCTATGATATATATACAGATTTGAATTTTATTAATATTTTTGGCACTGTGGAAATTTAAATTGTTAATTAGTTATTATGTCTTGTAAGATTAGGATGTATCCTATAATAAAGATTACTACTACTACTACTAATTCTACTTCCGGTGAGTGAGTTTCGATGCATGGACATTTCGAAAACGGTAACAGTTACTAGTTAGTGCAGGCGCTGGAAATATTTGAGTATGCAAAATGTGAGGACCAGTAACTATGTTCAGATTTTTATGACTGAGACCCTTAATAATGAAAAACCGAATGACAGAATAGTTTAACTATTCTCCGCACCCCTTGGTAAGCGTAGCTGATAGTCTAAAGACGAGTCTAAAGACGAAAATCGGTCCGCCAAAGTTAAGCCTGACAAGACAGTCCTCCACGAATGTAAAATTACGAATTATTTGTCCTAGTTCATTATGTGATTTGTTTTTCATCAGATGTATTTTATTGATAATGAAAAAGTATAGAATAGAAAAATAAATAAATAATTACAACAACAATATCGAAAAAATTAAATTGGGTAATAAGAGTTTTAACGAAAATATATCAAATCATCTAAAAGAACAATTCGTTCAGGCCAGCCTCAACACCCTACACAGTAGGTTAATGGACTGACACCTATCAGAAAACAACTACTCCNGAGTGACTTCATTCAATATCGACAATACATTGTCTACAAATTGTTCATATCTATGATTTAAATCCCTTTCTGTGTAGTTCCACTTTATAAGTTTTAGTTTTGACTCAATCAGTTCATAATGAATGTTTTTTCCCCTAGTTTCAATTTTGACTGTTTTTGTGTCTTTTGGTAGAATGTTTGGTAACGCTATCTTTATATTTCGGTGTGTACTTATTTTTGGTGAATCAAATATAGTAACATCTATGTCAGTATTTGTGAAAACTAGATCTATCATTGACCCTCCTGTAGCAGTTAAATGTGTTATCTCATCAATTGAGTTCGAAAAACCCACGTCATCCATAAAGTTCTTTAGTCTTAAAGTATTTGTATTTGATTCTAATAAATTCAAATTAAAATCACCACAAATTATTATTCTAGAACTTTTTTCAGTTACATTTTCTTCACACTAATCTTCAAACAATTGCAAAAATCTTGCTATGCTACTACTGGGAGACAGACCTGTATAAAACAACGACAATATAAGTTTTTCTTTGGAATAACACCGATACTCCCGTAAACCAAAACACATTATCAATACACTCCTTGAACACTTCAACTATCGTTAAACTTTTTTCAGTCAATATTAAAGTTCCCCCTGTATGTCTACTACTACTGTCGGTTCTAGTCAATATATAGTTTTCTATACTAATTTCTGAATTAAATATATCGTCAGTAACATGAGTTTCCCACAAATATACTATTGAGGGTTTTTTTATATCCACAAAAGTCCTAATTTCGTCAATATGTGCAGACACACTTTGAGTATTGAAACATAAAATAAATTTATCTAAAGTAAAATTATTGTTTATACAGGATGTTTTCGGAAATCTCTGTTTCTAAAAAAGAATTATCGTAAATGACAGTGGAATTTTCATTATTGTTATATGACTTTGCTTGACTAGAAAGAGCAATATTAGTACATTCAATATTACCAGTTTTTTTGTTATGAACAGTTTCATAAACACTTTCATAATTCAGTATTGAATTGACATGCAAAAGTACGATATTTTTTATTTCCTCAATTTCATGATGAATGTTTATATTAATATCTTCAATAAATTTGTTGGAAACTTTTCGGCTTGCCCATCTAGGGATTGAAAAAATTATAATATTTGTTCTCAAGCTTACCTCCTTAAGTGCGTCAAACATGCTTTCATTTACCCCTTTACCTCTCATAGCATTTGTCAAACCTGCTGCAATTATAACATGGTCGTTGAATGTAAATGACTCCGTCAGATTTTTGATATCAACAATAATATCCTCTAGTTCAACATTGTGTTTGATAAAAGCTTGTACTAAATATTTATTAGGCTGAAAGTTGTTTAATATTTTCGTTAAGTCAGTTGAATTACTATCACCTAATATGAGAATTTTTTTCTTAATCTTGACTACCGTGTTTTTGTAAATATTTTTTTTCTGAGTTCTCCCCTCTTGACAATCATCATGAATGTTGTTTCGACATATATTTTGTTAAACGTCTGTTTTTTGTTCATTGTTACGTTTTTCATAGTTTTTCTACTTCTGTATAGGTCATTTACTGCAGTTAAAACTTTTATGGATGTGATCATATTATCATTCAAAGTTGTCAACTTCCGTATGTTCTCTTCTGGTTTCCTCATGTCATATTTCAGTATTTCTGCTTCATTTCCAAAAATTTCATTAGTTTGCTGATTAACGGAAAAACAGATTCAAAACAGATTTCTTGTAAATTTGTGATATTTTTTATAGTTAATTATGTTTGTACACTGGCTATTTTGTGTTTGCTAATTCTCCTTGTGGCTTGTACTCGGAATTAGTATGATCTTTACATGTCAATCTTGTATCATTGGCTATCGAAATCTCTTTCTCACGGATATTTATTATTTCTTTCAGTTCTTCTTCAGTTTTGATAGCGTCTTCTACGAATTTCTGTCTTTCTAGGTTCATTTGTATCATATGCTTGTTTTTTAATTCATTTTCTTCCATATTCTCAAATTTTTTTTCTAGAATGCNATATACTGGCATGTGGCACAAATACACCAATTTCATCAAAATCACTTGTGAGTGAAGAAGCATACGTCCTCTTTTATGAAAAGTATGAAACGAAATCGCACTTTTGAGATAACTGAGAGGATGTAACTTCATGCTTCTCTACCAAAAAAATTATCTGAACTTTAAAAAAGAGGAACAAACAAATTAATCTCCTGGATTTGTGGTGGAGGAAACTCGTAGATTTTCAATCCTTTTTAATTTATAGCAGATTTTACCAGAACACTTTTGGTAAGCAATGGTAAATAAGAATATTGGGAAGATCGAGCTCTGTAAAATGATTTGTACAAAGAAGAACTTTCTTAAAGGAAATATATAGACATTTTTTGCAAAGCAAACTACAGGCATCACTATCTAATAAATTAGTTCAAAGAAAATTTTCAATTTAATTTGTGTCTAAAAAATTACAGTTTTCATTTCACAGATATCTTTCAGCTTCATTCCTTTCATAATTTTCAAAATTTATTGTGATTAGCTTCAAAATCTAATTTGAATAATTTTTTTCAGAAGTTACCTATGAAGAAACCCAAGTCAGAGACTAAGCCCACCAAATCGAAGCCATCAAATGAAGAAGAAAATTCATGGCAGTTAGCAAAAAATAGATTTGTTAAACTAACCGAATTCAAAGGAAATTGGTATCTTGACATTCGTGAATTCTATAATGCTGATGGTGATCTGAAGCCTGGGAGGAAAGGAATCATGTTAACCATGGAGCAGTGGCAGAAATTCAAAGGCTGCATTGAAGATATTGATGAAGCTATCAAAAAAAATGTATAGTGTTAGGTTTATTTGTGTTTTATCATTCTAAACATTGTTCTTTATTATTCCCAGTGAAGTTGTTTGTCTGAATAAAATGAATATTCGAAAGGAATGTTTCTATTAAGAATTCTGAATGGTGGAATGGAACCTTCGATGCAAAACAAATTAGAAAAAAAAATCACTTCTTCCACACAAAAACTGTACCACTCTTAACCTATACTCACAACAGTCTTATCTTGATTGCACAAATTTGATAGGTGAAACATACTCTGATAAGAATGTTACAATTACATTTTGGGAGAAGTGTTTCTGTTTGATTAAGATGTGATAAGAATCCTCATGTTTTATTACTGAACGAGTTAGAAGAAAATTCATGAATAGTTGATGGAAAACCGAACACATATTACTTCATAATAAACCTGAAATTTAACAATTTCAAATTCTGAATATGTCTAGTTACTTTTTAGAATCATGCCACAATACTGTATTTAGGCTGATGACAGTTTTCGTCACTTCACGAAGGTAATGGTTTTTGTTTACGTTACAGTACTTCAATTGAATTTTGGTCTATTTGATTTCTATTTTTTTTGATACTTGTGATTTGAGATTCTACCATTCTTGCTCTTTGAGTTGCTAATTTGAGCAAGAAAATTCATTATTTTTACACAAAGTATGTACAATTGAAAAGTGTATATTTTTAGAAGATATTAGTTTTTTGGAAAGAAAGGTTTTGGATTTCTACTTCTCCATCGTTGTATAAACAAAGTGGGAAACTTCCAAAAGAAGAAAAACAGCAGTTTATTTCATAAAGTCTTTACATAGATGTTTACATCATATGAAGAAGTTACTTTCAGAAACAAAATGGAAGAAAAATCGCTCTGGAGAGAACTACTTTCATGTAAACATTGAATTGCACGAAACAACTTCTTACATGGAAATTGAATAATATGAAAATCACTTTTTGTTATTCAGTTTGTACTCCAAACATTCTTCATGGAATTGAGTAAGATATCATTCATAGGAATGCTACACAAAATGTATGGAAGGGTACTTTCACATACATGAAACTCGTGTCATCCTCGAAATAAGACATTTGTCCTATTGCCTCATCAACACCAATGTGGATAGTATTACAAGATGAAGCACTCAATTCATCCACTGAGATTTTTTCAAGGATCAGAATCATTGGAGAGATTAGTTTTGGAAAAAAAGGTGGCTTTCTACTTCACTATTATATACAAAAAACGTGGGAAACTTCCAAAGGAAGGAAGAAAGCGGGTAATTTCAAAATAAATTCTTTTTAAAGTTTTGCCCTTCCATTATGTAACTCTTTCATATATGATATTGTTTATTTTTTTTATGAATGATATCTGATTCATTCAATTCCATAGAATAGAATAGAATATTCATTTAATCACATTAACTACAAAATGTACAATAGTGACAAGTCAAGCTGACAAACAAGAATAACAATAATTGAACAATAGTTGTTGTTATACACGCTGATTACATCTAAAACAGTTATTATGGAAATAAAAAAATAAAAAACATGTAACATATTAATATATTAATGTCGCACAATCCAAATATTCGTCGAGTAATAGTGAGTGCTTAACTCTAGCCTTGAAACGGTTATAACTCAGATCGGTAATGTTTGTTGGTATTTTATTGTATAAATGTAAGTTGAGTGAATTTCGAGCTGATAGATCCAGTCTATAAAATTGAGGCCTCAGGTGTGCACCTCTTCGAGTAGAGTAATTATGAAAGTCAGCATTTGTAAGGTACTTAGTATTATTTTTGTGAATCTCTAAAATGTTATAAAGTATGAAAATACATGACAAGGGTAGAATTTTGAGTTTTTGAAATAGAGGACGACAGTTTTCTCTAAAAGATCCAGATTGCTTTTTTTGCATACAAAAGGCTTTAATTGCATGTGAAGACTGACCCCATAAAAGTATGCCATATGTTAGGTGGCTGTTAAAAAGAGAAAAGTATGTCTGTAATACCATGCTTTGTCTAAGACACATTTTCAGCTGTCTTAGTAGGAACAGTTATGTAGAAGGTTTTTTGCACAGATCAGCAACATGTGCTTCCCAATTTAACATGTTGCTTCTTCGTTAGTTGTCTATTTGATGATATAATTTTCTGTGGCTTATCCCTGTTTAGTTTGAGATAATTTGAAGTAAACCAAGTTTCAGCATCATTATCTGTTCTAGAACATAGGTCCATTAAGTCGTTAACATTTGTTAACCATTGATACATCACCTGCCTAGCCAAAAGATAAGCGTGGGAGTAAGAAATTGACCTGGGACCAAAAAGAGTTGGTCCCAGTATGTACCCTTTGGTGCACCGTGCAAAATGGATCTACATGTGCTAGAATTTCCAGATGTATAAACAACTTGTTTTTTCCCACATAAGTAGATTTTCATTAGCTCTAAAGCTCTGTCACGTATCCCGTAATATTCCAATTTACCTAGTAGGAGCTCATGATTTACAGTGTCAAAAACCTTACTTAGATCACATAGAGTTAGAGCAGACACAAGCCCCTTTTCAATATTCTCTATTATTGTATCAACTATAGCCATCACAGCTTGGGTTGTCGATTTGTTAGACCTAAATCCAAATTGATTTTTATTAAATACCCAATGAGCATTTAATAAGGAAATTAAACAATCATTAATTAGCATCTCAAAAATTTTACCAAAGATAGGAATGATAGATATGGGTCTATAGTTATCTGGAATATTTGTATCACCCTTTTTGAATACGGGAATAACTTTACTCGTTTTGAAGATATCTGGAAATAGTCCTTCACAGAGGCAACAGTTGAAAACAACAGTCAATGGACCAGAGACAAGGTGTAGGGTTTCTTTAATTATTCTACTGTTTAAGTTGTATATGTCCAAGCAAGCAGAGTTTTTTAATTAAATTATTGCTTGTTTAACTTCAACCTCAGTAACTGGACTAAGGAATATAGAAGTACTAGGTTTGGGAAGTGTAAAAAGGTAAGTTAGAGCATTAATGTTGCAGGAAGGTAGATATTTTACAGTTTGTTCAGCTATATTTGTGAAAAAGATGTTATATTTATCAGGGGAAATGCTACTTAAATCTGAAAGTTTTTTGTTTAAATTTCGCTCATAGTTAATTAACTTCAATCATTCCTCGGAATGATTGGAGTACGAACTGAATAGGACAGCGATTTTTGTATAGGTAATTCAATGTTCATATAAAAGTCGTGTAATTCAATGTTTATATGAAAGTAGTTGTTTCGAGACGGCTTTTTACTACAGTTTGTATCTGAAAGTAATCAAAAAACACTTTATTATGAGCGTGTCTTTACTCCTTCCCGAAGAAGCCATTGTATGACAAAACACGTGTTGCGTTTTTGTAAAACTGAAATAAATTGCTTTCTTCCTTTCTTTGGGAATTTCCCACATTTTTCGTAGAAAATCAAAACCTTTCTTTCCCAACATATATAATATTATGACAACTGTAGTGAACAGCAAATCTGATGTTGAAGGTTGGTAAGATCAAAGTAAATGACTAATTTAAAATCTTCAGTTGAAAAATTTTTAATACTGCGAAATCGCTTATTGTTGTATTGTCTTGTTGATAAGGTGCCATTATCACGTTTTTTCATTCTGTTCCAACTCTGTAGTTATTTTTTAGAAGAAACAAGTTTGAAACAGTTGAAATACTGATGAGTTAGTTGCATTGAATTATCTTGTTTTATTCCACAGCTGCTTTCAGTACTTAACAACTGTTCAAGTTTCTTCTAAATTAAGTACCTGGCATTGTAAAAGACGCTTTCAAATGAACTTTTTTTAATAGAAAAGTTGAATAAAATCAAGGACCCATTTAGGACCTTCGAAATTTTCTTCATGACAGGATTCATAGAGGGGAATATGAATTTACATTTCCTACGTGGTAGGAAATCATAATGAAGAAAAGATAATTGAAACTTTCTATGGTTTTTACCATAGGTAGTGGTAAGTTTCAATTCTCTTTTCTTCATTCACATGATATTATAAAAGAATTGTATCCATTACCAGTCAGCGAAAGCGTAGACTGTCTTTTAAAACAAGTTTAGAGAAAATTCGTAAGATTAGTCGCATTCAAATCCAGGATCAGTCCTGAGAACTACCTATATAACTATCCTCAAAAAAATTCTCTCATAGGTCTTGAAACATTTCGTAACTAAGGGGATACTAAGGCTTGAAGATATATTTTTAAATTATTAATGGAATTGTTCATTGTCCTTCATTGTTATCCAAGATAATTGTTATCCTAAATTCACTAGAAATACAACATTCTCCCAACCACATTGTAGAACAAATCAGTACCTTCTTTCCTTTCTACCACCAACTATAAAAGCGGCAAATAAAACGGACCTCGATGTCTTCACTTCTACATCAGAGTCTCAGTTTCAGAAGCAGCTTGATTCAGGGTGGAATATATAGTTTCTGCAAACGTCTTTCTTATAGAACATTTGATCTAGTGATATATTTTCATATGTATGCTATTGG